AGGAGCCCCACGGCTTCTCCTCATCCTCCCTGGGCCTCTGCTTAGTTCTGCCCTCTCCTCTTCCACCACTAGGCAGGGGGGCGGGAATCACTTAACGTTCTCTATGTAGGAGAGAAACAGGATATTAGTTCCTGGCAGATGGAGTAAACAGGTAAACAAGGAGGCAGCCTGGACTCAGTGATTTACTAGGAAGCCCTTTGCCCCAAGATTTTGTCATCTGCCTCCCTGAAAAACAGGCCCGAGAGAGCAGTGGTTATGTAAATGATGCTTAGAAAGGATTTGGGGGAGTTACAGTCATTGAACCCTGACCTGGAAACCCTGGCCACAGAGCCTTCAGAGGCTTGGGGAAAACAGCTGAGGTGGATTGAGGTGTTGGGAGGGGCGTACCATGGGGCACAATCCTCCAGCCACCTGCCCCCTTTCTTCCCTGTGGGGCTGTCTGGCCTGAATCCTCTCCTCCCCCTCCTTCTCCCTGTCTCCTAGCCTCTTCCCAGGAAGCTAGGATGGGTCTGAGATTCTGAGAAAGAGCAGGAGAGGAGATAAGCAGCTTAAAGGAGTGTCTAGGCTCAAGGCGGGGATGGAGATAGGAGGCCGTAGTGGACTCAGAGGTGTGCCTGTGGATGACTTGCTGTCTGCCCCCTGCGCCACCTGGCCAACGTACAGGCATAGGGAGGTAGGGTTACTGCAGCTCTGGGGGACTGGGGGTCAGGTTGACCTGAGGGTTGCTGAAATGGGACTGAGGTGTCCCTTTGGCCAGGGTGGTTGTCTGGCAGTAACCCACTGGCTGCGGAGTGTCTCTCAGATGAGCGCGGGGGGCGGAAAGAGGCATTGCCTATTTGGGAGCTCAGACCCAGCATCCTCGGCAGGATTCTCAAGTGTCTGTGTTGTCCACAGCACATGGTGATGAGCTTCCGGGTGTCTGAGCTTCAGGTGCTGCTCGGCTTTGCTGGCCGGAACAAGAGTGGACGGAAGCACGAGCTCCTGGCCAAGGCCCTGCACCTCCTCAAGTCCAGCTGTGCCCCCAGTGTCCAGATGAAGATCAAAGAACTATATCGCCGCCGCTTTCCCCGGAAGACCCTGGGGCCCTCTGATCTCTCCCTGCTCTCTCTGCCCCCCGGCACCCCTCCTGTCGGCTCCCCTGGTCCACTAGCTCCCATTCCCCCGGCCCTCTTGGCCCCTGGCCCCCTGCTGGGCCCCAAGCGTGAAGTGGACATTCACCCCCCTCTGCCCCAGCCCGTGCACCCTGACGTCACCATGAAACCATTGCCCTTCTATGAAGTCTATGGGGAGCTCATCCGGCCCACCACCCTCGGTATGGCTCTATCTTCCTCCACCTTCCTCCTGACTCCATGCCTCTTGCCCGGGCCTTTCTTAGGCTTTAGTTCCATGGGATTGGCAGCCTGGGACGGGGGCAGCCTCCGTGGCTGCCTATGCATGGGCTGGGGAATAACTGCCCCTTTGTGTCCCCAGCGTCCACTTCCAGCCAGCGGTTTGAAGAGGCACACTTTACCTTTGCCCTCACACCCCAACAAGTGCAGCAGATTCTCACCTCCAGGTACATCTCTCCCAGCATCCTGGGTGTTACCCCTGGACTCTGCCCCCTGACATTCTCCTTTTCTGTCCCATTCTGCCTGTCCATCCTTCTGCACCTGCTTTGTCTCTCATTCTCTGGTGTGTCTCTTCTCTGTCCCTGGGACATTTAACTTTCTGTGTCTCTGTTCAGCCCTGCCTTCCGGGGGCCACATCCTGACATGTCTCCCCCTCCTTCTTGTCACAGAGAGGTTCTGCCAGGAGCCAAATGTGACTACACTATACAGGTGCAGCTAAGGTGAGTTGATCCTCTCCATCCCTCCCTGCTGGGCTCCTCTTGGGTGGTGGGAATGAAATAAGGGTATGATAGATCCTGCTAGAGGATGGCCCTGCTCTGCTGTGTCCACCCCAACCCTGGGACTTTTGTCGGATGCTGAGGGCTACAGAGATCCATGACTGAATGACTGAGGTCCCCTGCCTTTCCACCAGCTGCAACTCAAGAAACCGCCTCCCTTGCTGTTTCATCTTTTCTCATCTGTTACCAGGTTCTGTCTCTGTGAGACCAGCTGCCCCCAGGAAGATTACTTCCCCCCCAACCTCTTTGTCAAGGTCAATGGGAAACTGTGCCCCCTGCCGGTAAATGTTCTCCCCTTCTTCTAGCAGTTCTCTCTTCCCTGTTTCAGTTCTTGAATGGTAACTGCAAACCTATTATGAAAGAGACATGCCTAGCACAGTGCCTGGTACATCATAGGGACTCAGTTTACTGATGGATCAATATAGTCTAGAGGATACTAAGACAGGGCTGATGGAGAACTTGGAGGAGGGACATTCATTCAACCCAAAGGACAGGGAAGACTTCTCTGGAGTGATGATCTCAGAGCTGAGAGTTGGAAGAAGTGGGGCGTCTCTATTCTTTCTGCTCAGGAACTCATGAGTGGGTTCCTATTTCCCTGGCCAATGAATAAGCTCTCCTTCCTCCCCAGGAATAAACCCCACACACAGCCCTAGATAGTGCTCTAGGTTTGGGAGTCACCAAATGGGCCCCCATCTCCTTGGTCACCGAGTGAGCTGGCCTTCCTTCCAAGACGTGAGTAACCTGAGAGATAAGATGTCTTGACCAGTGCCTCCTTTCTCCAGGGTTATCTTCCCCCTACCAAGAATGGGGCTGAGCCCAAGAGGCCCAGCCGCCCCATCAACATCACACCCCTGGCTCGACTCTCGGCCACTGTTCCCAACACCATCGTGGTCAACTGGTCATCTGAGTTTGGACGGGTGAGCAAGGCTGAGGCAGGGAGCCTGGAGAAGCCTGCAGGGCGTGAGGGGGAATCATCCAGTGTCTTGGGTTTAGGGAAACATCTTCCTCTTTATGGGTCGTTCTGTCTTAACCCGCTGTCTCTGGTCCTCACGGGACAAAGGGTTGGAGTGGTGGTGGTGATGATGATGGTGATGATGGTGGTGGTGTGGTGGTGATGATGTGCAGAGCAAAGGCTAATTACCTCCCCCTGCCTCCAAGTAGAACTACTCCTTGTCTGTGTACCTGGTGAGGCAGTTGACTGCAGGGACCCTCCTACAAAAACTCAGAGCAAAGGGTATCCGGAACCCAGACCACTCTCGGGCACTGAGTGAGTAATGTCCTGCCCCTCTTTACCACTCTGATCTGGATCCAAGTTTTCCTGGTCCTCCAGCCTTTATCGCCAAACCCATACCTGACCTGTGACAATATACCTCACCTCTCATGTGAACCCTAACCCTCCCCTCATCCCCTTACCGATCTTCATGGTTGAGAAGTCAGACCACTCCCAGGCACTGAGTGACACCCTCTCACTCTCAGTTATACATTTGCTTTGCACCTCACAGACCCTGCCTCCAGCCTTGCTGGAATATGGCTGCTTGAGAGTGGGAAGAGTCTTAAGGATCATCTAATCTAACTCTCTTTTGATGTTTCAGTTCCCTCTAAGTCATCTCTGCCAAAGTGTCACCCAGCTATATTTAAGCATCTTTGGGGTCGGGGAAATCTCTCCCTGACACTCAGTCTTCATGTGATCTTCCACTGGCCTCCAAAGACCACCCCCATGTGACATCCCATGGGTCCCCAGAGGCACTCTGCCCAGCTGCCTCTCAGCCAGAACCATCTGCTTCTGGCCTCACCACCTCCCAGGCTTCATCTCCAGCTTTGCTGACCCCATGGCTCTGGCCCCATTCTTGTTTCAGTCAAGGAGAAATTGACCGCTGACCCGGACAGTGAGGTGGCCACCACAAGTCTCCGGGTGTCACTCATGTGCCCGGTGGGTACAAGGGAGATGAGAAGGGAGGAGGGTGGGGCTAAACTCTGGACCCAGATGAGGGCTCCTAGGGCTACTAGAGTGAGGCTTCCCGGGATGTAGGGACTGTGACCAGAGCGCTTGTCTCCTCCCAGCTAGGGAAGATGCGCCTGACAGTCCCTTGTCGTGCCCTCACCTGCGCCCACCTGCAGAGCTTCGATGCTGCCCTTTATCTACAGATGAATGAGAAGAAGCCAACGTGGACATGTCCTGTGTGCGACAAGAAGGCTCCTTATGAATCTCTTATCATTGATGGGTAGGGCTGCTCTGCATTCTGCTTCCTTTTACCTTCGACATCCACTAGGAACCCCCCATCGACAGATGAAGATGGCTTCCTTCCCCTCCACAAAGCCCAGCTCTTAACCTATCCACCCCTTTATGTGTATACGTATAATTTATCCTCTTTATAATATACAGTTGACCCTTGAACGACACAGGTCCACTTATACATGGGGTTTTTTAATACAGTCCAGTAAATATAAATGGTATTTTTCTTTTTGATGATTTTAATATTTTCTTTGTCTAGATTACTGTATTGTAAGAATACAGTATGTAATACACATAATATACCAAATAATGTGTTAATTGAGCCTTGATGCTATTGGTAAGGCTTCTGGTCAGCCGTAGGCTATTGGTAGTTAAGGTTTTGGAGAGTCAAAAGTTGTCCATGGAATTTTGATTGTGTGTGAGGTCATGTCCATGGATTTTTGATTGCGTGTGAGTGCTTTTAACTCCCGTTTTGTTCAGGGTCGACTGTGTATATTTCCACCACTGACGATTTATTGCATGAGGTATCATGCTGAGCACATTGCATATCTCATCTCATTGAATCCTCATAATTAACCCTGTGAGATGGATATTGTCATTACAGGTGAAGAAGCTGGGGCCTAGAGAGATTATCTTGCTCAAAGTTATAATTGTTAGTAAGTGGCGGCGTCAATGTATTGAACTGTTACAATGTAACACCTATAACAACTACCTGACCTCTCACTGAGCGTGGCAAAACGTTCTTTTGAAGATTTGGATGTGCAGATCTAGCTAGTCCTAACCCCCTTCCAGAGCCTAAATTATGGCCCTCATCGAGAAGACTTATGAAGTTCTATATCTCTGTTCCTTTGTCTTGTCACAAGTACTATGTGAAACACATGCTTAGAATGTATTTTTTTTTTTTTTGAAAACGTAGCATTTGAAGTTTGCAAAGCTCTTTTACATACTTTACTTGATTCTGACAACTCAAGAGAGGTGAGTTGGGGTGAATAATATCCCTGTTTCACAGATGAGGAAACTGAGGTTCAGGAAGGTGAGTCCCAGAACTCCCTGGCTACTGTTCCCAGCTATCTCCCAGCCTCATGAATTCCCGTATCTCCCCTTCCCCCCAGCTTATTCATGGAGATACTTAATTCCTGTTCGGATTGTGATGAGATACAGTTCATGGAAGATGGATCCTGGTGCCCAATGAAACCCAAGAAGGAGGCATCTGAGGTTTGCCCCCCGCCAGGGTATGGGCTGGATGGTGAGTGACCCCCTGTCCCCCAGCCGACCTGAGTCTTGGATGGCCTCTTCTCTGAGACACAGTCCTCTTACCACCCACAGGCCTCCAGTACAGCCCAGTCCAAGAGGGCAATCCATCAGAGAGTAAGAAGAAGGTTGAAGTTATCGACTTGACAATAGAGAGCTCATCAGATGAGGAGGACCTGCCCCCGACCAAAAAGCACTGTCCTGTCACCTCGGCTGCCATTCCGGCTCTACCTGGAAGCAAAGGGTATGAGGAAATAGGCTGAGTCCGCAGCAGAAGGGGCAGAGAAAGAAGTCAGAAATGCTTTCTGATCACTGGACAAACCCCAGGGCAGAGAGGGGACTCAGGAAGCCGAGCTGGGTGAGGGCGTCTGTCGTTCGCTGGCTGCCCAGCTCCTCCTCTCTCCTCACAGAGTCCTGACATCTGGTCACCAGCCATCTTCGGTGCTACGGAGCCCTGCCGTGGGTACACTGGGCGGGGACTTCCTGTCCAGTCTCCCACTACATGAGTACCCACCTGCCTTCCCACTGGGGGCGGATATCCAAGGTAGGACACTGACCACAGGGTGGGCTCTGCCCTGCCCCATGTGCCCTTGAAAGCAGATCAGAACCCCTGCTCCTTTTCAAAGCCTTCTGGCTGTCTTGCAAAGGGCTACAATCCAAAGGATTTTTGGGGGGGGCCGTGAAGGGGTCAGACAGGAGGCTGATTTTGATTTTTCTTTTCCTACCAGGTTTAGATTTATTTTCTTTCCTTCAGACTGAGAGTCAGGTAAGTGGTCCCTCGTCCCATGAAGATCTCAGATCTCTGAAGCTTCCTATCTAGGCACTGACGGGTCCCCTCCCCCTCACTTTCCCCTGAGAACTAAATCTGCCTCTCTGTGAGGGAAGGTGGGAGCTGGGGGGCGTAAGGAGGGTGTGGGCACTTTATTTCCCTCCCAGGCCCCACTGGTGCTTCTTCAGATTCTCACCCATGTCTTCTTTGATCCCTTGTTACCGTCCTGTCTCCGGAGTTTTTAGAATCCTGCCCCTGACTATTCACACACAACCTACCCCCCACACCCACGTGCAGTTGAGCGCCATGCCTGCCCCGGCCGGACATTCCACACATTTCAGACGCCCACAAGGCCAAGAACCTAGCAAGATGGAGGGGCTGTCTCAGGGCAGGGAATCGGGTAGGGTATGGGGAAGCAGGGGAAAGAAAGAGAATCTCTCCTGCTTCTCAGAGGGTACCTTGGGATCCGGAGGATTTGAATTATCCCCGGCTATTTCTGAGATGAGTGACTGGGAGGCCGGGTGAAGTCAGGAGAAAATCTTAAACTGTGCCCTTGATTCCTCCCAGCACTATGGTCCCTCCGTCATCACCTCGCTAGACGAACAGGATGCCCTTGGCCACTTCTTCCAGTACCGAGGGACCCCTTCCCACTTCCTGGGCCCACTCGCCCCCACACTGGGGAGCTCTCACCGCAGCACCACTCCAGCACCCCCTCCTGGCCGCGTCAGTAGCATTGTGGCCCCTGGGGGGGCCTTGAGGGAGGGGCATGCGGGACCCCTGTCCTCGGGTCCCTCCTTGACTGGATGCCGGTCAGACATCATTTCCCTGGACTGAGTCCCTTGGATTATGGAAACTTCACTGAGCAAGTGTGCTGTGGGGTCCAGACCCCTGGCCACTCCAACCCCTCAGGGGGCTTTGGCCAAAGGCCAGAAAGACCTTCATGGATGCCTGTTTTGGGCCTTATCTCTGCCTGACAAGTCCAGCACCCAAAGGGTTAATATTTAACCTCTTTTTAAGGACATTTGGGTTCTATTTTTGGAAATGTTCTTTAGATGGTTGGCACATTCCTTTGGGTATGTTAACCTAGGCAGCGGGAGGCACGTGTGTGATGGGGTGTGAGTTGGGGGAAGGGCTGAATCCACTAGAGCCTGGGGGTGGGGTGGAGGGCAGGGGCCTTTCTCTTGTCCTCTAGAGCCCTCTCTTCCCCAAACCTATGGTTCTGTTCCTTCCCCACATCCATGGTCTCTTCATGTCCATTCCATTCTCTTCGGCCAGACAGACAAGTGGAGAAGCTAAGACAGGCCGACACATGGACAGAGAACTCTATTTTGGGTTGCAGATTTTTTTGTACATAAGCAAGAAAAACCAAAATACTCCAAAGATGACTTCCCCTGCTTCCTACTTCCCAGTGTGACTGCGGAGGAGATAAGGCCTTAGCTCTGATCCCCAGGGGTTTGGGAGCAGGGCCTGGCCTATTGCCTGGGTCTCTCTCTATTTATATATTTAAGTGCACAGTGTTTCCTATGCTGACCAGCTTGGGCCATGAGCTTCTAAAGGCCCGTGGCCCCAGGGTTAGGTCTGGCTCATTCTGCACCTTTTCTGGGAGGTGGGAGGACTTCATGCTGTCCCCATTCTCCTTTTTCAGGCTCCTCTGGGGCTTAAGACCTACGTTGTAATTTTACTTTTTATTCCCAAAGTTGTAGCAAAGTTCTTATCCACAATAAAGGTTGTGAATGTTCTGTGAATGTCTCGGAGGGGGGTTGGGGAGGGAGTTCCACACCTCACTCTCCAGATCCCTGGTTTGGGGCAAGTGGGGGAAGGGGTCCCAGGTTCCGTTCTTGCTTGCAGGCCCTGGTGGGGGTGGGTGGTGGGGGTGTCCCCCAAAGGACTTCCAGGAGCAGCTCCTCCCTCCTGTCCCCCGTGGAGCATTCGGCCCAATGTTGCGGGGCCAAGTGCTTTACTCTTACCTGCCCAGATGCTGCAGCCAGAGCCTGAGGGCAAACTTGGTCCCAGCGCTGACCCTCTCGTTGCCTTCTGCTGTGGTCGGGGTCGTCCGCAGTAGCGTGGATGTGGGCAAGGCCAGGGGTCGAGCTCTTTCGTCCTCCCCTAGTTCCACTGTACTGCATGGTGACAGCTCCTGTCTGGGCTGTGCCTTGTGGCTTAGCCCACTTCACCGAATCCTCCCGCCATGGCAGGAGAGGGCTGGGTGGGTGGGTGGGTGTTGACCTCATTTTACAGGAAGGAACAGATTCAAGGGGGGGTAAAGGACCTGAACCCTCGGGAGAGTGGGAGTCCGTGCTAACCAGTCGGAGCAGGAACCCTTGGACTCGGATGGACAGTGTCTTTGATCTTGTGTGCTCTCTTCATGATCAGTTGACCAACCCACTCCCTCAGTCTCCCTCACCACGCAACATTCCCTCCTGAGGAGGGGAGAGAAGTGGAACTTCTCAATGCGTTGGTATTTGGGGGGTGAGGCAGAAGCTCTTACTTACAGGACAGAGGGTGGTAGGTCCCGGGGAAGATGTGTGAGTGTCTCTGTCCCATCCTCTGCAGCAGCCACGGCAGCTGCTGTCTCTGGTCCCAGCCACATAAAGGCGCTCACCTCACTTGGGTTTGGTTGGATCCGGGCCTGGGGCCAGACATGTAGGTCCCTTAGCCATGGCCTCTCTCTTGGGAGGCCTGTTCTTGGTTGCAGCCTACCCACAGGTGGAAAGGAGACAGACTTGGGGCAGGGACAGGGGCTGTTGGATTTCTTGGTTATCTCTGACCCCCCCCCCCCATTTTAGTCACAGAACCAGTCTGCATGGACTCCTGAGCCCCCATTTCCTTCCTGCACCACCAGCCCTACCTGCAGCTGCTGCTGTGACTCCCAGGAGACCACGAGTAGATAGAGAATGATGTGATGGTATCTGGGGAGACCCCAGCTCAGCCTAGGAGGGTAGGCAGACTAAGAGAAGAATACAGCAAAAGTGAGAACTTCCTGTCTCTTTCTGAGACTGTAAATACAGCTGAGGAAGCGCAGGGTCAAGATGGTGCAGGAGGGACCCAGGTGGAGACTGTGGATTTGGGGACTCCAATTCCCTCCCCCCGGTCCCCAATGTTTCCCCTGGGCCAAGGCAGGTAGGACTAAGAAGAAATTGTTAAGGGCTCTTAGTTAAATAGGAAGGGACCTTTGCCACCTTCCTGTCTCACCTCCCATAACCCCAGAGGGACCCAAGAGAACTGGCTGTGGGGCAGCTGTAGTCCAGTCTCCTCCTGAAGCTCTCGCAGCCCTCCGTCCAACAGCTGGGAGCAACAAAGGGCAGGTCACAGCGGCAGGTGCCAGACTCCTCCAAGCCCCTCGGCCCACACCCAAGGCAGCCCCAGTCTCGGGTTTCAGGGCAGGGTGAAGGTTGGGCCAGCAGTCCGGTTACCTCTTCATCAAGTCCCACGTGCCCACCTGCGACAACAGTGGGACCGATAGGTAAGTGGTGGTGTTCCTGGCCGGGGACACCCCCCACCCCCACCCCACACACACTATTTACACTACTCCCTCCCATGGGCGCTGATGCCGTTGTGATCCTTCGTGAAAAGGGGACCGACCACATTTCTGGGCCTGTTTCTCTGTCCTTTGGAAACTGGGAATAACACTGTTGGGTGAAGGGCCACTTTCTTCCCTGGACTTGGGATCTTGTCCTCGGGGCACTCACCTGGGGGTACCCAGAGGTTGGGAGAAACGCTGAGGGTGCGTGTCCTGCGCGTTAACAAGACAGACTGGTCGCTGGACTGCAGAAGGACGGCCACACCCAGATCCACACCTCGGTTGCTGGGCAGCTCGGCCCCCGGAGTCCTGAGCTGCTGGTCCAGGGCCGCAAAAGGGCAGAAAGGGGGTCGCTGGCGGGAGGGAGCCGTTCGGGTTAAGGCTTCAGAACTGGGGCAAAAGTCGGGCGACAGCGCGCGATGGGGCAGGAGGTTGAGTCGGGGCGACACTTGCACCCCAGGCCTCTCACGCCAGCTCCCGCCCGACCCCGGTCTCCTCCTTCGATTCTTCACTCCTGCTCCGCTCCCCCCCTCCTGGGGCCCCCTCCTCCCCCGGGTCCCCCTTCCCCCGACCTGGAGCGGAAGCCTGGCCGAGGAGCCAGGGAATGGCCCGTCCGAGAGGACTAGTCGTCCTCGCTTCAAGCCGCAGTGCGTGGGCCACGGCCCGAGCCCTGGCCCGGCGCCCAGGAGGCCACACACACTCTGGGCGAAGCTCGGCGACTCCGCGCGCCCGGACAGGAGCAGCAGCACCCGCGCGGCGGCCATAACGCCGCCCTGGGGTTGGGGCCGCGGCCCACCTGGCGCCCTCTGCTGGTCTAGCGTTCGCAGGGTCGGGACCTAGAAAGCTTCCGCCAAATGCCCCGGGACGTTTAGGCAGAACCCTGGGGGATGAGCCACGGGTGCAATGTTAGTTACTAAGAGACAAAGAAGAAAACCTCTCAATCTCAGCTTCCCTTTTCTTCCCCTCTTCTCTGTTTAGAAGAGTGACCCCAGACTGATTTCTCAACTCACGTGTCCAATCCCGCCGGCCAAGGGCTGAACCATCAGCCGCCCGCGGTCGCTCTGCGCGCACCTACCTCCCATAGTAGGTGCCACCACGAATTAATTGCGTAAGACTCCTCGCCAGACACTCAGGAAACATTTTTGACACCTCCCTTTTTCTTCTCACTCAAATGCCAACCCAACGCAGCGGATTCTACCTCCTTAAACTTTCTCAAATCCATGTCTCTCTCTCCAGCCTCCATTGTTCCAGTCCAAGCCTTCCTTATGTTCTGCCTGAGATACTATCCCGTCTCCAAAATAGTCCTTCCCCTACTTCATTCTCTAGGCTGCTTCCAGAGTGATCTTTCTCAAACACAAAGCTAATCATCTTGCTTCCTATGGCTCAGAAGGTAACCTACTAAGCACAGTATAGCGAGGACCCACCACCCCTTGCTCCTGCCCGTCTCTCCAGCCTCAGTTCTGGCAGGATTTATGCCCTATTTTCTAGTCACATCCTATTTGCAGTTCTTCCTGGAACCAAGCTCTGCTTCCCTCTGGGACCCCCTTCCCCTTCCACCTGGCAAACCCTCATCATTCAAAAGAGATTGTCTTTCTCTGTGGTTCCTTTCCTTACCTCTTTGTGTAAAATACTTTTCTACTAGAGCCCTCATTATTTCCTTGTTATTTGTCTCCTCCCACTAGGCTATACTGGCATATTCATCTTTGTATCCCTAGAGCCTGGCCCAGTCCTGGGCACTGACAGGTGCTCAGTAAAGGATGGTGAGTAGCTTGAAGGCAGGGACGGTATCATATTTATCTTTGTATATTATATCTAGTATAATGGCTAGCAATGAATTGGCAATTGACTGTTGAATTAGACTAATTCATTAATCTTAATGAATTAGAACAGACACTGGTAAGAGGAAACTAAAGAGATTGTAACGACACCTACCTGCTTTAAATGAACTGAAGCTACTGGGACAAATTACATTGAGATGAATCATCTACCCATGGTACTGAGAGAAAACTTAGAATTGCTACTTTTAAGAAACCATGGAGAAGACGAAGGCAATGACTTCTTGGGTGTTTACCATATGCCAGGCATTGTGCTGTGTCTTACACACAGTTTCAGATGTGCTAGAAGCTTGGAGATGGCAAACTGTAGATTCTGCTGTGAATGCTGGGGCCAATCCACCTGCTGGCCCATCGCCTACTGTGTGTGTGTGTTTGTGTGTATGTAAGATTACAATTTAACAAAATAGAGAACAGGGGTAATTTGAGAATGGAATGAACTACTCAGGAAAAAGTTTCTTCCACTGCTAGGGATGTTCAAACACAGGCGTGGCTGATTTCCTGGTGAGAAATGATGCATCTGATAGATGATTACTCTAGTTGATTTAAGGTCCTTTCCTCTGTCAAAATCTGATGAAGGGAGAATACAGTGATGGGGCTAAGACAGTTTCAGCAAACTTTAAAAAACTTTCTGGTGTATTCTAGGCAGGAGGGATGGAGAGGGCATTCCAGTATAAGAATCTGCAACATATTCCACTGTAAAGAATGCATCAGGCACTGCCTTTATTTTTCCTTCCAATCTCCTCAGACTTTTTGAGGAAGGCTTTTTTTCCAGGTCATTGTCTCTTCATGGTGCTCTCAATATATGACTCCAGCAGGAAGATGGTTTCATCCACTTGGATCTCACTGGCATCCAACCTGAGTGAAAAAGGGAAAGCGTTTTCCAGACTGAACGTTCATGAGCATATTTAAGATCGGAGGCCATGGAAAATGGACTTGAAGGCACTCTAAGACATAGTTTGAAGGCAGAGGTGACGGCAAAGGTCTAGAAAATAAGTGATGGAGGCCTGCATGAGGACCAAGATGAAAGGCCAGATTGAGGCACACTACTGAGCTTAAATCAACAGACTTGGTGAATAAGAGTGTGGTAAGGGAGAAGAAGCTGAAGATGCTTTCAGAGTTCTTAGCTTAGGAAAACAGGTGGATTAAATTCTGCCAGTCGAGCTGGGGAGGAAGACAGTGAGTTTAGGATTGCTTGGGTGAAGTTGGAGTGTTAGCAGGGTATCAAGGTGGATTTTTCTGAAAGGTATTTTGAAACATAGGTCTGAACTTTATGATACTTACTTGTTGACATTACGCTTCAGGGTTTCTAGCTGCTGGCGTTCAGGGGCTGTGATCATTTCCTCTATTTCTTGTAGCTGTGCGTCCTCTGCACCTGTAGCCTGCATAGATGCAATGATGGCTTCTACCCTCTGTGACTTTTCCAGCAGACGCCTGTCAGACAAACACAACTCTGAGGTATGTCCCCTAGCCTTGGAGATTCTCTTACCTGTTAGCCTTATGGCAGAACTCCCCCATCTCCCACGTTCCTGATCAACTAGATACTGTCACCCACTAACCACAGTTTTTACAAATTTAACTAAATATACGACTTCACTCCTCAAACTCTTACTGCCTCTCATCTGTTTAATGCCAGTTTGTACGTTTCTCATAAATTTAATCTGCCAAATTATTTTACTGGGGGTATATTAGAGCAGTTTAGACTAATGTATGATTTATGTCAACCCAAGACAATATTTCAATGCGACTAGACTGGTTATTGTCTCTTTTGGTTTCTATTTCTACAGGAAATTTCCCTTCAAGACTTTGACCTTGAAAAATGTAATTACTCAATTGAAAATGCTACTTACTTGTTCTCTTTGGTTTCAAACTGTCTCCTTTCTATTAAGTTGGCTATGCTCTGAGGGGAGAGAAGAAACACAGAAATGCACATGGTTCTATTTAAGTAGCTCAAGTAGAATGGCTAAAGGGGGCATGAGGGTGAGACTTGTCCGGTGGAAGGAATGGGGAGAAGGTCCAGAAGCAGTTACCTTGTAGCACCTGTGCAGCAACATTCGGGCAGCTGACAGGATGTTCACAGTATATAAATAGAAGGTCCTGGATGGGGCATGGTCTGGCGTTTTGGGAATTTCCTATTTGTCCACAGAAAGACAGAAAAGAGAAATCAGACTCTTCTTTAGAACTGGCAGAGTAAACGCCTGTCCCATCCAGAGCTACTCAACCCTTTCTTTCACTTATACTCTTCTCTTCTCCAGTCATTCAGCATCTGGGTTTATGGCAAAATCGGCCACATGAAGAGATTTGTCTATATGATTGTTGGCATCCTCAGTGGGGAAGAAAGAGAAGGCAACTAATGCTTACTGATTGTATTTGATCTTTAAGCTAAACCACATTATTTTTATTACCACCATCCATCACATTAAGGATGAGAAAAAATGACGGTAGGTACTTTGCTCAATATAACTGAATCAGGGGCAGAATTGAGATTCTGTTTCGTCATAGGGTATACTACATGGCTCTGCACGTAGTGAAGACCCAGAAGATGCTGCTGAGAAATTTAATCTATAATAAACTTAATGCCTGAAGAAAGGACAAATCGCAGGGACTAAGAGCTGAGGAATAAAGGGTGATTCTGGGGTGATTTCTTGGCTGTGCCTCTTTTCAACTAGGCCACTTAAAGCTCCCCAATTCTTTTTCAAGTCCTTACTATGTCTTGGTTAATCTTTTTTTTTTTTTTTTCCATCTCACAGCTGGACAGAGAGTTTGCTTGGGGCTCAGGATGTTTGCCTCAGAAGTTTCTTTCACCCTAGGCCAGCTCCACTGGTTGGTGACCATTATGCCACTGGTTACCTGGAGTGATATGAAATTTTCTGAGAGCATCTTATAAAGCATATCCTTTGCCTCCTTTGCTGGAATCATTGCAAAGTCTTCTACCTGTTTCTGCTCCAGGTGTTTCTTTTGCAAAACTAGACGGAATATTCTGGCACAGCGAGACCCAAATCTGGAAAAGAATAAAGAGAGTAAATGGCATACCAACATAGGTAAGTTTTAGCTCCGAGTCACAAATGGCGGCTGCTCTGTTTCCATGTGTGGGGCCAGGGCCAGAGAGAGGAGCAGTGGTCAGGGAGTTCTCTCACAACTCCAGACTGGTGACGGTACTGCTGACCACACTGCCGACTCCCCTGAGTACCTCAGTTCCTGCATTTGTAAGGAAAGGCTTTAGGAAGTCTGGTTAATTGACATCACTGGGAATTAAGCAGGAGGATATTTAGGGTGAAGAGTAGTGGTGGGTGGGATCTGTAACAGTCCAGTGGAAAAATGGGGCAAGATGCACCGAGATGTATCTACATTGCTTGCTTACAGAATGATCAAATTGCTTATTCAAATGGAGTGTGGAAAGGAAGTGTCAGACCCCAACCCTGAGCAGGGTGATCTCCTTACCTCTCCTGTACGACAGACTCCAGAGTGGCCGTGGCTAGGGATCCCAGAGCTTTATGCAGGTCTTCACATAGAGGATTAAGGTCAGTAATGTTCTGGCCTGGTCACTGGGATCTTAGTTTTATTCCTAAGTCTCTAAGTTAAAATTTAAATGCAATTTTATCTTTCACATTGGTCTCACTTATAGTATGAAAGTATTTCAATACCTTCATTTATTAGGATTTAAGTCAGGGTTTTGCGGAACTAAAATTTGGTTATTTAAAAGTCCTTTTTACTTCTTTATCATCTAATGTAGTAGTTCGGTTTTCTGAATTATTTAGTATACTGAATATTATCCAGTCTCTTCTTTCATAAGTCACTATTCTGTTTCATAGTTCAGGTTGCCCAACAGTAAGGAAATAACTGGTAAGGATACTGATGACATACATTCCTCCACCACTGTCGCCAGACTTTCCAACAAACTCTAGCTATTAAAAAAGAGACAGAGAGAGAGAGAAAGAGAGTTAACTGAATGGAAAGTCCAGTGATTCTGTTTCCAAAGGAGCAAATCTGGCCAAGAGTCTGCAGCAGGTAGCCCTCCTATCTGTCTGAGCTGGCCAGGTAGAAAATGAGGCTCCCACAGGATACCAGGTTTCAGTGGCAGAAATAAATCGTAAACATAGCAGAAAAAAGAAAAAAACAAACAAAAAAAACCAGAAAGAAAGCAAATTCAGACTTACTGGATCGTCTGCCAGTAGAGTGAGAT